TTGGAGGTCCTTGTAGCATTTGAGAAATTGAATGTCTTGAAGAGATGCTGCTTTTTATCCAGCACAACAGAATAATTCAAGCAGGCCGTTTGTAGGAGATTTTCACTTTTCTTAATAGAATGAGTAATTTCTAAAGGGTCTCATAAATAAATGTTTTGTCACAGTTTTCATATTTTTATACCCTGTTTCCCTAAGGAAGTGAATTCAAAGAACACGGAAACAGTTAAGCAGAATGCCAGAGTGAGGAGCATGCACATCAGGTTTTGTGGTGTCAGCAAATCAGATCATACATGAAAGTTAATACCGTGGATACCCGGGGGGACTGGTTACCACACTTAAATGTGTGTGAGGTAATCCAGACAAGAACAGGCTTTAAATGAAAGGAATTCAGCTTGAAAGGTTGCTTGTTCATAATTTAAGTTTTCTGGGACAGTGGAACAACAGTAGCTGCAGTCTTACTGTACAGTAAGAGTACAGACAAATTGCAAGGTAAAAACGATGGGGACTTACTACAGAGCAACTGAAGTGCAGTTACTTTCCATGTACCTGTTTTTACCTCTACAGCAGAGCTAAATGGTGGTAGCTTAGCCCTGTTTCATTGAGGTGCTAGTTTCCACAGTTTCTTTCACTTACTATGAGATAGAAGCAGGCATGTGGACAATTATTATACATCAGCTGTTTGTTCTCATCACCTGTTAACTTGCTGCAATTTATGAACGTCACAGCTAATCACTTCTCATAGGCTTAGCCTACGTTGCAAACTTTTCCTGGCAGAACTAGGGTGTGTTCTGCAGCATCTGTACTCGCAGCCTCTCTGCAGTGACAGAGGACTCCTTCTCTCTCTGAATAGTTATTCCACTTCTGTTAACCAGAGTAAAGCTGTTGCTGCCACCCAGCAGCCTGAAGGCATGTGTAGACACTGCCATGTCTCAGCAGTTGGCCCCTTCCTACAGTGCAGTGCACACTTCAGTAGTGGAGACTGCTGTCTCTTTCCAGAACCTGTGGTAGCAGAGCTAGGGATGTGTTGTCATAGCCTTAAAGACAATATTGCTACATTAGTGCCATACTCTTTGGAAATGTGTAATCTGTGAGAGACTCGGATTTGTAAAATGAAAATATTACTTCAGCTCATACTTTTGATGGTGTTTAGTCTTTTTCTTTCTAGCATTTAATAATACCATGGAGAGTGCTTTCAGGTGCTGTTGTCAGACAAATGTCGTTATTACAACAGTATTCTTTAAAGAAATAGTTGATGTTTACATATACATGTAGTTCTTGTACATGTCTTAAATATACACTGAAATACCAAGGGAAAATTTGATACGAAGACACCTTCAGCTTAACAACAGGCACCCATTTCACAGCTGATTTAACTTTGATTAACCTACTCTACAGCAACAGATTACTCAGACAACTGGAACTTAACTCCATAGTCTTATTGCTAGGTGCAGCCTAATTTACAGTGCTGCTTTTCTTTCCATCTCACCAAAACGCATCACAATTTTGATGTTAACTCAACATAAAAATTCACTGGTTAATTAAACCCAGTTTTTGCATTTGTTGACAAAGAATTTGTCACTTTTAAAGTAGCGGCTGCTCTTATGCAATCCGTATTGCTCATTTTATAACCTAAGATTGCCTGTCTGAAAAATGTGGCATTTTTTAGCTTATTTAATGAATGTTCATTAATATATTGTGAAATACAGTTCCACTTCCTGACTTCATGCTCCTCTGCAGTTCTACTGAGATGCTAGCTGCTTTGTTTTCATCTTGTTTGAGAAGGAAAAGTTTTATATCTCCAAACTAGAAATTCACATCAGGTGCATTGTCAGCTTAGTTAACACTGAATGAGAGGAGGATGAGCTTGGAAACCTTCTCAAAAGCTCGGTCTAAGATTGCTTCACAACAGCATTAAAAATGCATCTAGACTTTAAGTGAATACTTAATGTATTAAAAATTAAATTACCTTGAAAGCTAAAATCTCTAATCCTTCAATCCTTTAGTATACATTTGCTAGTACATCATTGTTACCACAGCCCCTGCAAATACTGATACCTTAAATCTTAATAAAGTAGGGAGGAATAGAAAAGGGAGGAGGAAGGGATTACACAGAAACTTGTGACCATTCTTGTCTGATGGACTCTAGTTGTCATTTTAGACCATGCATGTCTCTGGGCAAGAATTGCATGTTTCTTGCAAGCACAGCGCTGTTGCATGCCTTGATTTTTTTTTTGTCTATACTGAAGTTCTTTTGCTGTTACTTAATGTAAAGTAATTGCAGTAGAAGTACAGCCCACGTGACTTGTGTGTCTCTTTGCACATAAGTAAATCTAAATGTGAAATGAGATGTTCAGTGTTATCAGTAGTTCTGTCTAATAAAAGATATCAAATTCACCCAAGGAACCTTATCATCTTAATTACGTATTCAAACTATTGTGGCTACACTGTATCCAGTGTTTGGATGCATCAAGCCATATAAGATGACCATACTGAGATTAATATAAAGAAATTTGGAGCTTGTGTATAATATACCCCATCTGTATTTGAAATGTTAAAAGGGAGGAGCAATCAGCTACATGATCTTGTCTGTAAAATATGTAGATTATGAGGTCACTCGGCACTAAAAGGCTGACCATCTGCATGTGACAGGAATTTGCCTCCTGTCATTGAAAATGGTACTTAGAATCGGTGTGATGTACCAAGGGGGGAGGGGTTGGGTTGCAATTTCTAATTCATGACATTTTAAGCTAGAATAACCTCTCCAGGATAGAATCCAAGTCCTTAAATTTTAAGGTATTGATTATAGCAGCAAAATTGTTTAGGGGAAAAAAACATATTTTACATAACTAAATGTTAATGTACATCAGTTGCATACAGTTTGCCATTCTCAGTCACAGCTGCTAAATTAAATTAAAATTGAAAATCTATTGCTGTTCCACCACAGTGACTGGTTTTCAGAATTTCAGCTGTGTTTGATCGAGAGACACTTTAGAATTGCTACAAGTTATACAGTTTTCAGATTAATAGTCCGTTGTACATGTGAATCCATCTAAAAAGGAGCAGTGTCTTTCTGTTTCTCCATGTGATTATTTTGCCCAAAAAAGCTTTCATTTTTTTAAGTAGCACAAAAGCTGTAATTGGCATGCTTTGTAAGGAAGTGTCAGTGTGCAAGAGAGTGGAGATCACTAAGAATTCTTTTACGCGTTCTTTCCCCTCTGCACCACCGCCTCCTCAGCAGGGTCACTGAGATCACTAGCTTTTCTTGAAATGGCCATTTTCACTGGCAGGTGCATTATACCCTGTATTTTCAGATTGTTTTTCCATTCTGAATGTTTGGCAGGTTGATTGCTCTGGCTGCATTGACGGAGAAAGGGCTGACAAATGCGGTTGGGCTGGCTGAAAAGACAGTGATTACTGTTTTCCTTTGTGGCTGATTGAGGCCCTTGAAAGGAAAGATTTTAACCTTCACCATTTGGTTCAAAAGTATGAGCATATATTGAAATCATTCATGCCATTTATCCTAGTTCTGTAAACTTGTCAGAACGTAAAAATCGCTCAATTTCAAGTAATGTAGGATTGGCATACGTCATTATCATTTTGATTAAGTTGGAGTTTGTATTATTGTGTGCATTATACAGTGTCACTTAAAGCTTTCTTTCCTGCAGGTACAGTTATATTTTTATTGCCTATACTACGGAGTGTAGAAAGATATTCAGACCCTCTCCAAACCTATCACTATGTGTGTGGTTTGGCAGCTGGTATGGCCTACAAGCTGTATTTTGTTTGCAGGGTAAAGGCTTGTCTGTAGACCTCCTGGAGTGCTGGTAATTGCACAGGCTTGCCTTTGGGGAAAGACATGATTGGAAGCAGTCAGGCAGAAAAATGTTGTGCCATCCCATTGCCACCTCATAGCAGAGAGAGACAATCCCAGCAGTACCATCTGGTTGTTGCTATCTAGTCAGCTGGCCTGGCTGATGGGACCATGGCTTGGCAGCTGGTTCCCATCCCTTGACCACTCTTTATTTGTGTATGTGTATTTTTTTGTTAGATAACTTTGAACATGGGTCAGGGAGATGACTGTAACAAACAAGTAGAGTCCCTGTTGAGTACCGTCTCATTACTTGTGATGAGGCATGCTGTAGACTCCTGCTGTCATTCCCTTATAGACAGATGACATAGCTGTTTAACCAATAAAAATAGTCTTTTCAAAAACTTACCCTAGGAAACAGAGGAAGAAAAGGCAGGAAATGCATATTCCACAACACTAAGTAATTTAAAGTTATTTTCTGGTTTACAGTATTGAAGGGAGAAGATGTAGTAGTGCAGAAAGTGCTGTAAACCCTGTCAGGATTCCTGTATATTAAAATTTTGTGGTGTTCATTGCAATTAAGAAAAATACATTTTGCTTTAAAATTCTCATTGCCAGACATGATACAGATAATGAGACTTGCATTTAGAATGACAGAAAAAAAATTGTAATCTCTCAGCTATTATCTTTAGCAAAATTTGCCTCTCAAAATAGCAACCTGAAAGCTAATGTGAGCCATCTTTGTGCCATGTGAAGATCCATTAGGCACTGATGGTTTCAGATCACAAGTAAACAGCGGCTCTGTAGGCTATTTTAGACATTTGATTTTCTTTATTCTGCAGCATTAATGTGTCAGCATGTTACATAAAACTACATGGCAGATGCAAGTTGTCTGGAATGATAAATGCATGTAGGAGTTTAAGATTTCTGTTGTGAATGTTTAAAAATTTCTTGGGTATTTTTTTTTTTCCAGTTTACCCAGCTAAACAAATTAATGTGACCGTGCACTAAATAGCGAAGTAGGCAAATGTTCTGATTCATAATTCTTCACTTTACCCAAACATTATATTTTATAGAAATGTAATTATATTCAGTGAAATGGTTCATTTTGTACTGACTTACTTGAAACTCTATAGAAAATGTTATGCCTTTTTAAGAGCATTGATGATTTCACTGTACTATTTCTCATCAGATGAGGAAGAGGAAGATGATGTTGTGATACCAAAACCATCAATTGAACCCGAAGAAGAAAAAACACTGAAAAAAGAGGAAGAGGAGGAAGGTACAACTCGCTCTAGGGCATGATTGATTTATTGTAATAAAAAAGAAGCTTTAATTAAATAGGCTCTCTCTTATCAATTTAAGTTTGTTTACCATTTATGTACCTTTTAAGTACAAATATAACAACACTAAAATAGTCTTAAAATATGTTGCACATGTGGATGTTATGAATATTTGATTTTTACAACAGTGTGAAGTATTTGGTTTTCCTATCTATGCATTTATAATAAGGAAAATAAATCTGAAAAATCGAAGATCTTGTTTTGTTTTCCAGTTGCACCTCATGAACTTACAGAAGAAGAAAAACAACAAATTTTGCACTCTGAAGAATTTTTAAGTTTTTTTGACCATTCTACAAGGATTGTAGAAAGAGCTCTTTCTGAGCAGATTAACATTTTCTTTGACTACAGTGGAAGAGACTTGGAAGACAAAGAAGGGTAATGGCTTGTTGAACGTTTTCCTGAGTGTATTTATTATATTACAAACTGAATTCGAATAACTTCTTCATACCTTGTAATTCCCTCTTCTTACAGAGAGATTCAAGCAGGTGCAAAACTGTCCTTAAATAGGCAGTTTTTTGATGAACGCTGGTCAAAGCATCGTGTTGTTAGTTGTTTGGACTGGTCATCTCAGGTAAATTAATACTTACTTTTAGAAGTGATGCAAAAGTGATTTCTTGTGTGTGTATGTGTGCGCTCAAACTTTTTGCACCATTCATAGGTGGTGTTTCAATTGTATTTCTTAGAATAGCATTGACACTGGTAGTTCCATGTGTGTTTGAAGGTACTTGTTCGTAGCTTGTTCATACCTCTACATTTTTGTTAAAGTACAATGACAACGTATAAATGGAACTAAGTATGCTGAAGGCACTTAAACTGAACTGAGTATGTTAAAGACACTGCAAAGGTAAGTGTCAGCTCTGGGGAAAAAAAGCTTGCCTAAGTTTGTTTTAAACTGTGAAAACCAATAATTGTAGTACTGAAAAACACTATGTCTTAGCTCTGTAGCTGGGGACAAACCTTTTAATGGTTACTAATTATAAATATTTCTGTCCCAATTGCATATATTATAAGGGGCTTAAACTGGATTGACTGGATTGAGACAATATTCATTTACTCCAAATAATCCCTTTTTTCCCCCCCCTGCCTCTTCATTAACTTTTGTGACTAGTACCCAGAGTTGCTTGTAGCCTCTTATAACAACAACGAAGATGCCCCTCATGAGCCTGATGGGGTGGCTCTTGTTTGGAATATGAAATACAAAAAAACTACCCCGGAGTACGTCTTTCACTGCCAGGTATGATGCAAGTTCCTGTTTCACCAAGCTAAAGATTTTATGTTGATGAATTTAGACAAGTGCCTTCTTTATACTTGTCAACATGGTGATTTCATTGGGCTGGCATGTACTTTTAACCACATGTATTTGCAAACAGATGTTGATGGATGTAGACTTCATTGCTTCAAAAAGATTCTGCTGACGACATTCAAAGTATTTAAACTTGTCTGCAAACCTATGTTTCTTATTCTAATTTAGTTAAACAACAAGAAAACATTTTTGTATTATGCCTGAAGTATAAGTAGCTTTTTTCATAAACTGTAACAGAGAATGTACAACTAGACTTTAGCCCACAAAGCAAAATGTATATGGCCTAAGGAGGTGGACCAAGATAGATAAGTAGAAACACATGCTTCATGTAGAAAACAGATGCGGGTTTAAAAATGGATTAGTGAAAGGTAAAAATGTGCAAATCTTTCCTATTCAACGATGCCTGCAATAGCAGTTTTCTTTTCAACATGTCATAATCCTAAAAAATGGTTTAGCAGAATTTAAACTAATGTATAATCTGATGTCGGATTACTGTCAAGACATAGCTGACAAATGTAATTAATTATGATTTGCTACTATAAATATAAAAGTTTTTCTGCTTTCTTCTTGACAAATAAGTAGAGAATGTCTCTTAATGGTGTTACAGTCTCTTGTGTGTTACAAACTTCTGAGAGAAATACAAATCAACCACATAGCTGAATACAGGAAGGAGAGAGTGGGAGCTTCACTTGCATTTAAAGTTAAAACCAGAAGCATATCAAGTGTTTTAAGTAACCATTCATATAAAGTGCCTGCAAAACTTTTAGTAATTGCTTTCACCATCTTTTGCTCCTCTATCCAATATCAAATGTCTGAAGGGACAGTTCAGCTCTAGTAATGGTCAGGTTTTCTTGACTTTGTTCTTCAACATGACTTTGTTACTTCATGACTTTTCTTTTTCTTTGCAGTCTGCAGTGATGTCTGCTACATTTGCAAAATTTCACCCAAATCTGGTGGTTGGTGGCACATATTCAGGACAAATTGTGCTATGGGATAATCGCAGCAATAAGAGAACCCCAGTACAAAGAACTCCGCTTTCAGCTGCTGCTCACACGGTAGGAGGAAAAAGGCATCTACAAGAACTACTTCCTTTTGAGGCATATCAATTCCTGGCTGTTGGACTGGGGTGGCATTTTAGTGCCTCTGTTTGCATTTAGCAATGCTGGCACTGAAAAATTTAAGATTCTTGGCTTTGTCACTCTGTTGACAGTTTCATAGGTGCCATGTCTAAACACCATACCTTTCGGTAACTAAAAACTAAATAGACGTTCATTCAGACAATACTTTTAGAGACCACCATAATGCTCTGAAAAACGTTAATCTACTGTGTAGTAAAAATTTGAAGTACTGCTGAATTTATGCTGGAGATTCCTTTTTCTGAGAAGGATTTTGTTGTACTCTTTTTCTCTGTCTTTCCAATTTAGCATCCTGTATACTGCGTAAATGTGGTTGGGACTCAGAATGCTCACAACCTGATTAGCATCTCAACTGATGGAAAGATATGCTCGTGGAGTCTGGATATGCTTTCCCAGCCGCAGGTAGAGTAAACTTGGAAAAGTCTTATGATACAGAGCTATAGATTATATTTGCCACTTCACTTTTTTTTTTTTTTTAAGTGCAGGTAATCTGTACCTTAATACTCAATCTAACATCTGTATACTTGGGGTAAATATTTTGTAAGACTTAACACATTTTAAAAAATTTATAAGCATTTTCACAACACAGAGGTACAGTGATTTGTCTGGTAGTATTACCAGATAAAAATGAGTAGCTTTTTTTTTTTTTTTTTTTTTTTTTTTTTTTTTTTACTGTACTAAATCAAGTGTTATCTGTGGATCTCTGAATATCTGTCTTCACCATGGATGCTAAAACTTGGTCTCATAAGTAATAGACACATATTTTAGATGGGCTAAACCAAGAATGCCTTGTGAGCATGCTGATGCTTTAAAAAAAAAAAAATAAAAAGTCAGTATTTAAAATGATAAGTTTTGAATAGCAAGTTGTTGATAATCTTTCTCTACAGGATAGCATGGAGTTAATTCATAAGCAGTCCAAAGCTGTAGCTGTCACTTGCATGTCCTTCCCTGTTGGAGATGTCAACAACTTTGTTGTTGGAAGTGAAGAAGGCTCCGTGTACACAGCATGCCGCCATGGCAGGTGAATAAGAATCCTTGTTACTCTTTTAAAGTAATTAAGAGAAGAATCGTGGTAAACTTTACATAGCAAAATCTTGTTTCTATAAATAAGGACTATATGTGCATAGTCTGGGGATGTGAATCCAACATTATCTTTCATAATGTTTTCAAATTGTGCCCTTTTAGTTCAATTTGCCATTTCCCTCCTTTTGGCTTGGAATGGCTTTTAAACGATGACAGACCGACTGAGTTGAGTTCTGTTCATTTGAATCGTAGCAGAATATCCCAAACTTTATATCGGTTCTCTGGATAATTGTACAGTAACATCACGCACAAATCTTAAATCGCTAGCATTTCTCCTGCTGTTCAATCTGTTCTGAAATTGTCTGGCTGTATCTTATCAATTGCTTTCTTAAATAAAATTGAGTGTCCAGTTTTCATCTCAAATACACATCACTATTGCTGCACATCTCTGTGGCTTAAATAGCCAAAATTGTACCACTTCTGTGTAACATTCTTTCCCTTCCCCTGATTTGGGGGAGACTATTGGGGTGTATTGTCATTATCAAGAACTAAACTTTGCTTCTGCAATGTGCATGTAACTTCTGTTTTAAGTCAGCAGCTGTTTGGATGCTCATGCCTGAAGACTGCATTTTGTTCTTAATATCATCCAACTATTTAGCTAGTGCTTGAAGACCATGTATAGTTATATCTGGGTGGGCTAATGCCTACCAAATGTTACTCTGATCTCAGCAGTATTTTTGCATGTAACTTTTTCAAAACCCCTTTCTATTGTTTTTGAGATTTATTAATCTATGGGGTTGTGTTTAAACCCACGTTATGTTGAAAAGTAAACTTTAGGTGAGAACCTCCAATAGAAAGTGTTATTAAAACCCTCTTGCCATGTATTCAGCTTTCTCTGTTTGTAAAATGTAGCTTCAGAAGAAATTTACCTCAACTTTATTTTAAAACAGCAAAGCTGGAATCAGTGAGATGTTTGAAGGACACCAAGGACCAATCACAGGCATCCATTGCCATACAGCGGTTGGACCTGTTGACTTCTCTCATCTCTTTGTCACCTCATCTTTTGACTGGACAGTAAAGCTTTGGACAACTAAGGTATCCATATAGATATGTTTAACAGATTTTTTTTTTCTTTTGTGTACTTTGACACAAGGTGGTGCTATAATGTAAGGTACATAAATTGTCAAATGGTTGAGAGAGACTTGTTTGTTAAATTATGTAGCCTAGCTCTCTTTCAGTCACCTACAAATAGGGGACAGTTGTGGATTTGGGATGGGGAGAACCTAGCCCATTTTTTGCCTAATTAGATATCTAAGTGTGACTTCACTTTATAGAGTCTGTCTGTTTCTGGTCTATTTTGTTCATCTTTTCACTTTGCAAGTGACTCGGGAAGAACAGCGTAACAAAGTAGTCTGGGGCAGAGAGCTGTCAGGGCATCCAGCCATGGCTCCAGAAGGCACAAGTAGAAGCCTCACTCTGGACTCATTCCAAGAGTGCATGCAGGTGACCCAACTGTACCAGGTCATTCAGGTTGGGGAATCAAAGACCACTGGACATGATACTAGCCACACAGTTCTTTTGTTGCCCTTGGCCACAAACACTGGCATGCCTTGAGCGTACTAGCTCAATATGCTTGGTTCAGGTAGACCTTTGGCTTTCCTTTCCTTTTATGAGTACATTAATTCAGGTGGCCACTTGAGATCCCATCATTGCTCTAGTCCATTTTGCCATGGGTTTTAGAAAAATAAGAACAGTGCTGTTCTGTCAGTGAGCCTAAACTGACTTTTCCTTCCATCACTATCTTGGCTATCCTGGGGAACATGAAGATGAAACCAAAACCATGCTAGGGTCTCCCATAGGTAACTCCCATGCAAAATACTACTGTTCTACCAATTGGTAAATTCTGTTTCAGAGATGTTAACTACTGTTTACAGGCTCTCTTGTGCTATTGGCCTCCTGTTGAAGCTGTTTAATAACAGCAGGTTGTACAAGTGCAGTAAAATCCTTCAAAAGAGATGGTTCTCAGTTACGCAGGCTCTCTCGTGCTCTCTATAGCAGCACCTTTTTAAGCACTGATTTTGTTTTTCAATTTTGCAATTGCTGCCATTGGCAAGTACGTCTCATCATCCCACTCATTGTCAAAAGATTTTGGTTTTAGAATCTCTGAATGCATAAAGTTATCTTATACAATTTACTTTCAGAATAATAAGCCTCTCTACTCATTTGAGGACAACTCAGACTATGTGTATGATGTTATGTGGTCTCCTACTCACCCTGCCCTGTTTGCTTGTGTGGATGGAATGGGGAGGCTTGATCTGTGGAATCTCAACAATGATACTGAGGTGAGGCAAGATTTAAGTTAATTCTCAAACCAAACAAGAACATAGTGTTTTTAGACTTTCTCAAAAATATCTGGCCAACAATGTTGCGTCTTGGCTGCTACATATGTCTCTCTAGAGCTGCAGAATATTACTTAATAGATACCTTTAATAAAATAAAGTGAATTATTGCAGATTTCATAGTCAATATCTGTCCCAGAGACCAATGGCACTTGCATTTACATTTCTGTTTCATAGAGCTGTTGATATTAAAGGGTTCCTCTCTGATTAGTGGAGACTTATGAAAGGCATTGCTGAATGCCTTCTACATGGCACTGACATACTTGCCAATATAAAGGGCCTGTGTTCTGTTTTAAATCTTTTGAGAGAATTTGACATGTTTTTGAATAATGCCATTTTCCTAAGAATGTAGTGTATTTGCACAGATCTTTAGGAGATTTGGGGCTGGTTTGCAGCACTCTTTCTAAATGTGTGGATGAAGGCTGCACAGAGTAGTATATTCTGCGAGACAGTGATTTCTTAATGCAGATTTCTGAGGACTGCACAGGAGAGATGTGTAGCAGGGGAGAGAGCTATATTCCCATCCCTGCAAAATTCTCCATGCATTGTATTGCACAGTGAGGGAAATACTCATTAAATCTTCAATACTAATCCATTTAATTTTTAAAACATGTTTTCTGGCAGAATGAACTAGCACGTGGAAGTATATTTTAGCCAGTATTCTACATAGGCAGAAATTATAACCTATAAACTCTGGAAATCCGGAGCTATAGATCATAATAGCTCAGGACTAGAATTTCATCTGGAAATACTGATGAAATTCTAACAATGTGTATGAACTATTTTAATAGGTGCCAACTGCAAGCATTACTGTGGAGGGGAATCCTGCTCTTAATCGTGTTAGATGGACACATTCTGGGCGAGAGATTGCTGTTGGTGATTCAGAAGGACAGATAGTCATATATGATGTGGGAGAGGTATGTAACTTGGATTTCTCCACAGTTTTCTCAATTCTGCTGCTACTGTTTGTTTGTTATAATTGGTTAATATTCATGCCAGGAATAATGTCCAGGTCCTTCATTTTAAAACCCAGAATTAATTCTGAAGTAATATTTCCACTTCAGTTAAGCTTCCTGGAGTATTAAAAACTTTTAGCTGCGTGACTGTGATAGATCAGAACAAAAGGTAAAACGATGTCATTTGGGAGTACCTGAAATGAGATCTAATAATTACTGATTCAGTACAGCTTGAATGCAACCCCTACTGCAGCATAGAGGGGAGCAGTTGGATTTCATCTCCTTTGCACTTGTCCCAAAGTTAGTTGTTACCACAGTTCAAATAAGTCTAGGAATGTAAGAGAGGCTTTTGCAGATCAGTTCCTAACGTTGTACTGATAAACAGGGGCATAACATGCAAAGAATGTACCCATGGCAATCCTCTCTCTCTCTTGCTCGCTCCCTCCCTCACCAGTCCTGTATGTTGACTTCCACTGTACACAGCTCAGAAAAGCAGTCTTGTGGGCAGTGTGTGTCATAGAGTGCAAAGTATTCTGGGAGTTGTGGTTATGTAGAATGGCAGTGGAACTTGCTGTTGCTGCTGAAACCTTCACCCTATTCTTTTGCCCCTGAAGCTCATGTCAAGTGCAAAAAAAAGCTGATTTCAGCAGCAAAAAATTGGGTCAAGTCTGCCTCCCTGCCCCTTCCCAACAGCAGCAAACTCCACTGCTGCTCTACAGGACTATGATTTCCAGAATGCCCTGCACTCTTGTAATGCATACTGTCTGCATCACTGCTCCCTGCAGCCAGAAAGTGCAGGGAGTGGGAGGGTGAGGTGTGTGTGCGCTGTTCCCTGCCCC